ATCTCAGGCTAGCCAGAATAAAGTCTGGGCTATCTTTTTAATGCTAACTGATACTTAACAGGAGCCAAGAGGCAGCAAAACACAGTCTGCTTCTCAGTTCAGTTATCTGGCTCTTGTAAGGGACTGTTGGGTAGCACAGAGGTGCCCTGAGATGTAATGCAGACACATCCCTTCCCTCTGATATGCTGGTGGAAGGAAAGTGAGTACATCTAAGTACATTTATGCTCGTTAGTAGGTTGAGTTTTAGTTAAAACTGGGGTTCAGCAGCGGTAAAGCTATAGCACTTGTCGGGTACTTACACAGAGGCTCTGACCACAGAATTTTACTTTTAAAAGCAAACAGGGATGTACAGGGACCTTAATCATCCTTCTTCTTATCTTACCTTCATCCCAAGTAAAGTTGTTCAAATTCATTTAAAGATGATCTTGGAAACTGCTTGAGTGTAGCGTTTGCCTCAGGTGCAAAACAGTTGTAGACTTAAGTTATGATCAGTATTAAAAGAAGATAAAAATCCATGCAATTAACATGCTGCCTTAACTCTGTACTTCCCTATCACTTTCCTTGGCACTACCCTATGGAAATTAATACCGATAGGAAAGACTCTGTGGACCATCATTAATTTTCTAGCAGCAAGTCTGAAATCTCCAACATCTCCATTTCATCCTATTTATCTAACTGAAGCACCTAAATTTTTGCTAGATAGGAAATATAATGCTACAAGAAGCAGAAGACTGCATTACCCCACTGAGAAACTGTTCTGTCTCCATGGTTTTTATGGGATAGAACAGCTCCCACCCCAGATCAAACAGCATGTGCAGTTGAGTATGCTCTGCATTGGCTGATTTTAACAGAGGATCAAAAACCTTTTCCCTGGATTTATTTTACTGATGCCTGAGGGTGTCTACAGCAATTGAGTTCCTAACTCCAGTGCCATATTAAGAAAAAAAAACATCCAAGCTAAATTTATAGGCAAACATATCAACACATCATCATACAAACCTTTCTGGACATGTCCTTATAGAGGTCTACTTTATTTGATGTGGACTTCAAGGTGGCTTCAAACACATGGAAATGCTGAGAGCAGGTGACACCAGAAACCTTTTCCTTCTTTTGTAGCAGAATTCCCCCCTGCAGTGCAAGGAGCCAGGCTAATTACACTTCCATGGGAAAGCATCTGTGTATCTAGCAGATCCAGTGGGTAAAATTCAGCCTGATGCAATTTAAGATGCTTGAAAACTTTACATTCCTGGTAAAATAGAATCTCAAAAAAGCTGCAGGCAGGCAACTACAAGAGAATTACTAAAAGTTACTAATGGGTCTTAAATAATTATTTTGTTGTGATCTATGTCACAAAGGCATTATCACAACTCCAGTAAACAGTAAACAACCTCTATAAATGTTTCAGATGTCATGTAAGAGGTGTCAATAAGAAGTTCAATTCAGCTAGTAAAACATGTCATCTCTTTAATCTGCTGCTTTACTGACCTTGAGATTGTCTTACAAGAGGTATTAGAAAGAAAATAATTGTGTGTCTTAGGTATGGATGATGTGATGTATGTACCATCCAGAATACGCTCAGAGGAAAAATTCAGAGTAGATAAAAGGTATTCTTGTGTGTAAAGTGGAATTCTAGTTCCTACTTAGTCTTAATTTTTTTTTTCTGTTAGTTAAATAAGTCCCTGCTGCTTTCAAAGCTCAGCCCAAGAAAGGAAAAATGGTTTGAAAAGCTTGCTGAAATTAATTTGACCCATTCATTTGCCCAGTCACAATTTTCCCCATATACTTTAATCAGACACTCAGTGTCATACCCAGTAGGCAGGGTTAGAAACTTCTAAGCATCTTGTTTTCTCCAGATGCACTTTCAGAGGTGCCAGTGCAGCATCACAGAGTTCAAACCAATGCATGTGCATCAGGGAAACAGGGGAGCACTGGCCCCCTGCACAGACATATGAGAGTGACTGCAGGACAGGCCATCGAGGAACTTCCTGCCTGCTGCTAATATTTTGGAATATTAGACCCATTAAAGGCTCCAGTTTGATGGTTTCCAAAGATAAATTTTAAAACCCTCACACTGTAAATATTTACAGGAGCATCAAAACCAGTTAATAATCAACTTTCATGGGAAGACAGACACCTAAACTGATCAGGCTCATACCTGCCATCTGAGTCATCTACTTCATTTTGGAATTTGTGAAGTTTTGAAGATGTTACTAAAGCTGTTGTAACCTGTTCTGCTCCTGGACAAACGAGAAGAAAGTCCAGTGTTGACAAAAATCCCTCTTCACAACTTTCTGACTGTCACTGCATCAATCAAGAATGAGAAAGATGTGAATACCAGATGCATGGTGAATAGAGAAGAAAAGACACCCCAACAATATGGTGCAATACCTGCTTTAAAAGCTCAGTGCTCTGGGTTTTATTTTCTCTAACATCAAAGAGAAAAGAAGCATGAGATATTTATTTAATTAACAAGTTCTTGAAGAATCACAGAATCATAGAATCACAGACTGATTTGGGTTGGAAGGGACCTTAGTTCCCATCTCCGTGCCATGGGCAGGGACACCTTTCACTAGATAAGGTTGCTCGAAGTCCCATCTACAACTTCTATGGACATGTTCTAGTGTCTCACCACCCCTATCGTGAAGAGCTTCATCTTAATATCTAATCTAAATCTACCTTCTCTTGGTTTAAAACCATTCCACTTCTCCTACCACTACTTGCCCTTAGAAAAAAATCCCTCTCCAGCTTTCTTGTAGGCCCCTTCTGTATTGGAAGGTTGCTGCAAGGTTTTATATACATTTTATATGATGTCTTCTGCTTTCACATCCTTCTCTTTAGCATCAGGTCTAAGAATACACACAGAGTGAAGGGGCCAAATGGACAAAATACAAGTAAAACATATCAGGATTACTTGTTTAAGTGTAAGAGCTGATTGCTGCTTTTTATTTCCAACTCTAATAGCAACAGCACACAGGCAGAACGCAGAGGCTTAACTGCTGCAGAGAAGTAACATTTCAGCCCTTCCAAGAGTTTACACTTTTGTCAATCATTTTACAGATTCTTCTGTGGTCCCTACTAATGATGTTAAGCATGTGTTTGCAAAAACTTTTACAAACTATAGATGAGTGCTGTTATACAAGCAGGTTAGGGTAAGGAGCTCTGAGGTTTGCTTATGAAGTAAACAAACGGCTTAAATAATTTTCACTATCTAAAAGCGTACTTGATCCCTACCCTCCTTTTGAGGGTAAACTACGTCTTTCCAGTCACTTGTCATTTGTCTGTTTCTTCAGATATGGGTAGCCCAGCAGAGTACTATTTCTGCCAGGATTTCTGGATGCTGGTCATCAATTTATTGTCACATAAGATGCTACCATGAATTATGGATTGTTCATTGCAAATTCAGTCAGCATGTATCATACAAGATGTATCTAATCTACTGGAGATGATCAGAGCGTACACAACGTCTATCACATTTTGGTTGTGCTTTATACAGGGCATCTTATCTGCACAAATGCAGAAATACTAATGCACCAGAAATAAGTGTTCTGGTCTGATGGTCTGATGAAACCTGAACACTGAAGTGTCCTACTGAAATGAGATGTTTGTGAATGTCTAGGGTAGGTATTGCCTATATTGTAACATAAAAAAACAAAACTCTGATTTATTGTAAGTTTAACTAGATGTGTTTAGGGAGAAGTTACTCAAGCTCTGAGTCTAATGGCAAGGAAGCAAAAATATTGTTCTGCAGCACTGCGGTTGGTTAGCACTGCTGTATCAAGCTTGGGCACCAACCTATTTTTGTAATACTGTATTATTTTAATATTCACCCAGCAGATTGCATTTGCTTGGGATTTTCAAAGTCAGAGAGAGTTTGACCTGATGTCCCAAAAATAGAGCAATCAACTTTACCTATGATACTTTTTTTTTCAGTGCATCTAGGATCAAAAGCTCTGAGACAAGGTTACCATTGTTATTATCGTATGCTTAGAGGGAAGAGTTGATTTTTGTGATTTCATAAGTTATGAGATGGAACAACATATTTAAGAAAGTTAACAACATTTTTAAAGAGTTAAACAAACTGACCAGTATTTGGAAATTTTCCTTTACATGAAAAGGCTGCAGTTGTTAGATTTTGCTCAGGGATTTCTCCTGTAAAGATGACTGCAGAAAAAATAAACACTTAAATTTAAACTACAGAAAGCAACCATTATATAGATGCTGCTTTTGCTACTTAAGGTCTGAAAAATTACAACAAAGGAAGGTTAAAATAATCAGCAATGGTATAAATACTACTTAAGCCAGCAGTCACATATGGTTTATTAGCAGTGTAGACAGATTTATTGAAAACTGAGATAAGCGCATACATCTGTCATCAATCAAACCTACAAAGTATTTTCCTCAGAAAAGGAAATGTAATGATATAAGTGCTTATCTGTAATAGAGTTATAACAACTCCAAATGGTAAAACTAGTGCTGGCTCAATGCATTTTGTCGTTTAATGTTAACCAAACAGACAATTCCTATGACGATTGCCTTGAAGAGAACAGAATGTGTTATAGGTCATAATCAAGCACACATCCTTAGATCAACAGCTCCAAAGCACTGCATACTTCTGTAAGTCACCCTGTAATGCAAAACCAAGTGTGATTTGTCACACCATTTCAACCTCCATTAAAGCTAAGATAGCAGTGTGGAATTTTTCAAATTTCACAGGATAACTATTAAAATGGATAATACTAGCACATGTTTTAAAGAAAATTCTCAGCACTTGCCAAGTCATGCTCTCTGAGGTATCTGCCAGTGTAGGAGGGATGCATGCTCTCAAGGGGACCTGTGTTTCATGGTCATCTCAGGCAGGGGGCTGCAAAGTTCATTAAATGATCTTATCTTGCTGCTGGTTCTGTTCAAAATAGCCTTGATATGATGAAGGACTTATGTTACCCTCACTTCAAATAAAAAGCACAAAGGGATGCATTTCATTACTGCCCTGTGACACTGGAGAAGCCAGGGCTGCAGTGGTCATATTCCTTTTTTGTTTGTGTCTCACAGAGGATTTATTTGCGGGAAGAGTTCAACTGCAAAGGTAAGCAAGTGTTTGGGGGGTTGTAGCAAGTTTTTCATAGTAGTGTCAAAAAGAAATACATTTGTTCACTAACTTTAATACTCACTAAAGTCTATGCTAGGAAAGATGAGATTGTAAGGAAAATACCAGTGACAAGTGCTCAGTTTAGCAGCATTTTAAGGAAGCTGAGTAGCATTGATACAGAAAAAAAGTATTTACGGGCAATTTCCATGCCACAACCCTGGATAAAACAGAAGGATATGTGGCTGTATATTCTTAACTTATAGGCTAAGCAGTAGCCAAGGTTACACACACACTCCTCTCACAAGCATTTTTTAACAGCAATCTGCTGCCAAGAGGCTTTTTAATTTGATGATAGACACCTTCACATGAATCAGGATTAGTTTCTTTTGCGTGTTTTGTCAGAACTGGATGATCTGATGAAGAACATGAGCCTTTTGCAGGATTTATCTTCTTTGATCCTACACCATCAGGTCCTTCTGTACTCAAACATCAAACAAAACAAAACAAAATATGCTCAAGGTTCTAGAATAATTTATGCTATATACTTGATCTTCTGAATTCAGCAGTTCATAGGATCAGGCTTCAAATGTACCTGGCAATGGAGAAAATCTAGTGATCAGAAACAGTATTTGATCACACAAGATAGGCAGCTGTTTTAAACATGCCTTAGATGTTGAAATTAAAAGCAAAAAAAAAGTTTGACGAATCTATGGAAAGCTGAGGGAAGGTATTTGGACATTCTGTATTAGGTGATGCTTATGAATACTTGTTTCCTTGGTGCTCACCTCTGTGCAACTACCACCACAGTCCTGTTTGTGTGCACTGCTGTCAGGATGTGTGGGAGTGCAGGCAGCCACCACAGAGAGACAGGCGCAGGGAGTGGGAGAAGCTGAGGAGAAGAGGGGAGCTGAAAAGATGCTCCAGGAAAAGGTTGGTGAAATCAGCATTGGCAGCTGGGGAGAAAAGCAGCCCCAGCAAGAAATGGAGTGAGAATCTACAGAGGGAGTAACAGACCTGGGAAATCAGCTGGGAAAATGATTGAAAATAGAGGTGTCAGTCAGCCAAATTAATCCAGAGGGCTGGCATGGGAGGTGAACAGGGCAGGAGGAGAAGCTCAGCAGACACGAAGGTGGAGAAGGAAAACCTGAAGTGACCTCCTGTGGAAACCCTTGGCTCTGGGCTAAGGAAAGAGTCTCACCAAGAACTGCACAGTGACAGAGAGCAAGAAGCTAAATAAACAAACAGGCACAGGAGCAGAACTAGGATAATAACAATTGAATGGATGACCTGGAGGGAAACGAAATTGTTGATTCCTCAAGCGTTTTGCTCAAAAGGTTTTAAGAATTTTAACCCTCAGCCAGAGGACGGCTGAGCCCTCTGGTACAGAAAAGCAAGGCAAAGAATCAGTTCCCTCCAGTTTGATAATTCAACTGTACTGGAGTCTGGTAGCCAGGGAAGAGTGAAAGCAGATAAAGAGAACTGAGGCCTAACAGATGAGGATGACAGAAGAAAATACCTGGAGTGTGTGGTGTTCAAAGTCATTGATACTGCCACTGTAGCAGTATGAGATTCAAAAACCACATAGTTGCTGCAAGCCTTGCCTTATTATGTTACTTCATCAAAAGGGTATGATATAATAGAATCATAGAATAATGGTTTGGGTTGAAAGGGACCTTAAATCCAACCTGGCTTTTTCATATGAGAAAAGGTCCACATTTTGTGATAGCTCAAAGCATTTTAAGAGCAGGTATTCTCGAGATCAGAAAAATAGACCTATTAGCTTTTCACAGAAAAGCAATAATGAACTGTCAGAATTAGGGCCAAGATAAAATGGTTGAATAGAGGCTGCTGCATAGTGCCTGAGTGCAAACATTTTAGCTTGCATGTTAGAATTGATTAGCTAAATGCAAACCTGTAACTCATGCACACAGGTAACTCCTACTAGTATTGTTCAGTCACATGTCAGTATAGTTGGCATTTTCACACACATGAAATTCCCATTGCATGGAAAAATCCCATTAATTTGACTGGAGTTATACCCAGACAACAGTTTCCTGACTGAGAATACATGAGGCTGTTCATGAGATAAACAGCACTATGCAACTGCCACACAAACAGAAGCACACAGGAGATTCAATTAAAATGCTTTCTTCTGCCCACAAAGGGTTTTACCTAGGGTCTAAAGACCTAAGTTAGACTTGAAACAGGTATGCTTCCCCAGCCAGGATCTCAAAGCAAACCTCATTAAGGCCTTTGAGATGTGAATTGCTGCTACCTGCAGAAGCAGAAGATAAATTATGTATTCAAGATGCAAGGGAAGAAATGGAAATCATGGTTGTGATTACTAGTCCAATTTTCTAAAATCAAAGCAGATTTCTCATTGTTTTAAAGTTGAACATCAACATTAGCATAAATAGCCTACTCTCCCATACATTATGCAATTTTTTTATTAATAAAATGCACTTATATAATAAGCACAGTCTCCAAGCAAGGTCCATGAAAATGTAGATGAATAAAATACTGTATTATTTCTAGGAAAATGCATAACACCCTGAAAACTTATTGTGCTATGCAAGAAGCATAAGAAGGTGGAAAAAATAGCTTTTCTGATGCATATAGGTGCTCTGTAAATTTTAAAAACCATTTAAAATAATAATTTGTGTTCTACTACAGGAAAAAAAAGCCCTACACTTCTCCTTACATACCATTTTGTATCTAAGAAGCTTGTGACTTCCAATTCTTTCCACGGAACATTATGTTTCTTGTCATGGTAATGTTTTTTCATACAATCAGTGAGTTCCAGCCTCAAACTATTGATTTTTTTTACTTACAAAAAAGTCAAGATGTCACATAAAATTGATCTTACATTCCTCTTTTGTTCTGCAAACATAATTTTTCCAGAGATCCAGATAACAGTGCTAGTGTCACTGCTCCCCCACCTTTCTAAGACATCCTTTAACAAACAGTATAAATAACAAAATTTTAAAATCTAAAAATAATAATCTTCATCTTATATAGGATAAAGCTTTCCTAGAGTTTACCCAGTTATTCTTTTCATTTGAGCAGCTACATTTGTTCACCAGCTTGCAAACAGGACTCTGTCAAAGATGATTACCAAAGAGGCTCACGTTATTGTTGTCTTAAAGGACTGTCACTAGAGACTTAAATAAACCTACATTTAGTCCTAGCTGTTCAGTGTAGTTTAAGTCAGACCTAACTGCAAGATCTATAAAAGCATTATTACAATGACCTAAATGATTTAACAGTGTATTTTTGCCAAATTGTTGTATCATATATAGAGATTATTTGTTAAGGCTGCTTTGGAGGTTGCTTTCATTAAGTCTTTTCCACAATTTTCTTTCCATATTACATGATGTCCCTTTTGCTAACTACGTTGAATGAGGTTTTTAGGCATGAAAATAATGTGTACCCAGGTGATAACTGCTGGTGGAAAGCCACAATACAGGCATTTGTCCTGTTAACCTCTGAAAAAAAAATGTAGTAGGAGGGGAAAATAGAGTTTCCGTTGCTGAGGTTTTAGTACGAAAAATCAATCTTAGGACAAGTGAAACACTGATAGATTAGGTTCAATATCTCTGATTTCTTACACAACTCTGAAGGCTTATGGCCAACAGTTCTGAGACGGATGGCAGAACAGAGGTGAATTCAAACACCTAGGCACACAATGCATAAAGGCAAAGCAAATTAGGTGGTTTTTTTTTAGCAGAGTTATCATGCAGTTCCTATAATCAGCCCGTGAGCAGACTCAAACAGATAGATTGAAATAAAAGGTAATTTAGGATAGGATGAGTTTACAGTTCAGAAAAGCAAATGCTGACACATTGACACACGTTTATCAAGGATATACAAGGATCAGTTAAATAATGATGCAGAAATTCTAAGTTAAGGTGCTTTGATACATATTTGACAGTTCTCCAGTATTAGGGGAAAACAAAATGAAGATTAAGGTTTGAGTAAGAGAAAATTCAACACCCATGTATCCATACATTAACACAAAATAAAAGGCTTGGACAATGTTCTTGGTATGCCTGAGCAAGCACATAAAAATAAAATTTTACAGATAACAGAGAAAAGCACTAATTCCTGCTCCCCCACCCAGAAAACCTACCTAAACTGTAATGTGTAGACTATACATCCTTAGTAATCTCAACAGTGTTCTAACATCCAGTGCCAGATGTGAGGTGAATAACAATGAAAACTAATTCCGAACTTCTCTTTCACTGTGTTTAAAGCTTTTTCTTTTGTTTTTTTTTTTTTTTGCTGTGGGGAGGGGTGTTGGAGAGGCACATCTGTTCTATACTTTTAAGCCAGCAACAAAAATATATGCAATCAAACCAGGAGGCAGAGTACTTAAAACTAGTAAAGGATAGGTGTATCATAAAAACATACACCTGGACTCAGTTATACCTCATGACAATGAGTTCCACAGTTTTGCCTTATTCAGGAGAGATATTCACCCTCATATATATAGAAAAGATACATCTATAGTATATTAAACAGGAATTCATAATTATTCTGAAGGTGGAAATTCTTATGCTTTGGGATTACTTCTGATCAAAGAAACCAAGAAACATTATTTCCTGGCAGTTTATTTTGGAGCCTCAGTGATATCTGGGAATTTTACTTGCTGCTCTTCAGAAATAGTATTATTCTTAGAGATTAACTCTTGGAGAGGAAAGTCCACTACATGGCTAAAATTTAGGTGACTAAAAAACACCTAGATGGCTGTCACTGTGTATTTTTCATATATCTCTAGATCTGTTACACAAAAATTAAAAAAAGGTAGTAACTGCTACCTGGGAGAAGAAATGTGGGTTGGCATTAATATATATTTGGATATTTATAGAATACATATATTTTTTAGAAACACATATTCTTATTAAGAAAACTTTTGCCAAGGAATTATACTGTAGCACAGCTGGAGGTGTTCAGCAGTACTTGCGATTCACATTACAGACTGATGCAAACACTTATACATCCACCTATAATTTGCTCAGAACCTGAAAAAAAATGCTCAGTAATTTTTATTTTTATTTTTTTTCCTGCAAAAATCATGCTTAAATACTGGGCTTCTGTCATTTGGCCACAAGATGTATGGAGGTTTTATAGAGAGCCACGGGAGAGTCACAGGGAAATCTCAGCAAGAAAGGGACCTTTTCCAAAGGCCTGTCTTTGCTTTCTGTTCATAGAGTATTCATAATATGTCTCACAGTTTTTCACAAAACAGCCAAATCTCTAAATTAAATTTTCTAAAGATTACCAATTCCCAATTTTGCTTTTCTTACAATGCCTGGCAGGGGAATGGCAGCAGTTTCTTCAAGCTCTTCCAAGCTAGCCTTGAGGGGCTTGTTTGCTAGCTGTCTATGGCTCTGATTAAAATAAATTACAAATAATTGCCATGAATTCAAACAATGCATGAGAGAGTTCTAAATACATTTTAAAAAAAAAAAAGTTCTGCAAAATATTATAATGGCATATTCATACAAAACTACACAGCAATTTGGAAGGCAACATAGATATACTCATTCCATATTTAATGAAGTTTTGAAAGTAATGATTGACTTTCTGGTTGTAATGTGGGATACAGGTGCTTGACTGTTAGCCTATGACTGTCATCCTGAGACAGATAGATTTCTAGGATAAAATTCACTCCAAGATTTATTTTTATGGTGACATTAAATGAAGGGGGGGAGTACAGAATTGTCACAGATACTCAAATATATTCAATGAATTTGCTCTGTTTTGAAAATTACAGAAAAGGGAGAAATATTTAATAAGCAAATTGACTTTTGCAAATCAACATCTTATAAAATTATGTACATACTTTTATACACAAAAAATTTCTCCACTCCTGAATAATGTTAAGGTAAGATAAAAATTAACAGCAAATCACCAGGGCTCTTCTTCCCTGTTTTAGTCTTAATCTATAATGGTCACTTTATCGTATTATGGTCATTAAAACAGTGCGAAAAATCCCACTAGATCTGGCAATTTTTGTATTTCCTTCCAATTTATGAGTACGGTAAAAAGTATCTTAATCATCAAACTAGCGAATACAACAGAACTGCCCTGTAATGTGTGCTTAAAGGTCGTAGGCAGGTGAAAGTGAGATATATTTGAGGTCAATTAGCAAGAATTTAGATCACTGAAGACAGCATATTCTCAAGTGTCATAACTAGGAATGAAAAGCTGAAATAGTGAGTCATGCCCACTGTTATCCTGATGCTTCAAAAGAAGACAAACACAAACCCAAAACCAAACTGTGTGACCCCCATGCTGTGAAAATCCAAAACACCAAGAGTGTGCTTTAGCCATGAAAACAGACAAGGAACCAATAACTTGTTATATGTTTTTTTCAGATTTCTCCTTTAGAGAAAATGAATAGCCAATACATACGTCATGAAGTGAGAGGATGTGAAACTAGTGACCTGAGGAACTTCTGGGAAAAGACTATTGAACAACAAACTCGGTATCTGCAGATTGAAAAAGAACGTCAGCAAAGAAGTGCTCTAACAAAGTGGGTAGTTTGCATCCAGAAATATTGAGTTTGCACTGTAATTCTTTTTTAAAGAAAAGTGATACCTATATTTAAGTCATGCAATGAAAGCTGAAAATATTTTTCTTAGATTTTTAGAAAATAATGTGTCTTCCCAAATTGACATGCTAATCCTAACATGTCTAAGATATGGTTTATAGAATAAGAGAATGATTAATAAGAGAATAATTCACTCTTATTCCACTCTTATTCTTAAATGAATTTGAAGTGTAGAACTTTCTGAAGTTACCAGGACAATATCTAGCAGTGCAGGTTTGTCTTGAACACCAAGACTTATGTTCACAGCATACCTAGCACAGATGTGTACCTGTCCCACCTTCTTTCTCTATAGCCTTGTTTTCACAAGAACATAGTTTGAATTCATTATCTTGATTTTGAATAAGGTAAATCCAGAATAAAGCAGACAGTTTAAGTGTACTGACTGGCCAAGGCAATTGTGATCCATAGCTGTATTTACGTCAATCATTTATATTTACTTTAATCAGCCACAATGAGGAAGATCAGTCCTCAGCAAGGCCAGTAGTTTTACTTCACATGAAGTCTCCATAAGTTGTAGGCTCTTGCAAATATGGGTATTTTGGTTTGAGATCATTCAATGAGTAAACATTTTTTATTTTTCAAAATCTCTCTCATACCTCTCTTTAATATTGATGCTTCAAAATATAAGAGCAAGGGTGGCCTTGCATGAATAACACTGGATGAAAGAACACTGGAATTAATGTCTAGTATGTTTTATCCATTTATGTCTAGTACGTTTTATCCATTCGTAACTAACATGATCTTTGTGTCTTGACTGAGTCCTCAATTGTGAAATTCTGTCTTTTCTATTTGAGGCAGTCTTTCTGTGGCACCTAGATATTAAGATAAAAAAACACTCCAAAGTACACAAAATGCCATCTATCACCTAAAGCTGTGCACTATGGGTCTAGCAGAATTTTCAACTCACACAGTGTTTCCAAGCCACTCGCTGCTCAGTAGCCTCTATGCAGCACTCTTTTTAAGGCACTTCTGAGGAGGAGGGGGCTGGGGAGATGTCGGGTGATGCCACCCAGCAGGTGGCAGCAGGCAATCTCCAGTGCAGGTGACAAGTCACTCCAGCATACACAGGCACTTGAGGGCATGGTGAAGATGAACCACAGATCTCAGGTGAGCCATCATCGGGTTTTAAGAACTGGTCCTCAAGTGCTATCCAGCAAAGCACTCTAAAGGGGCAGGTCAGCCTGCATGACACCTGGGAATAAGCACCAAAGCACACCACCAGTGGGAAACATGAAGGGTATTAACCTGTTCCCTGTAAAACCGTCTGGGCAAGCTAATCCATGTTTCTGTCCTTAGGCTCAGAAATGAATGGATGGAGAGGATGGAAAAGAGAATAAAGATGTTGAGGACCCAACCTGAAGACACATCTAATTGAAGACCCCACATTCATTACATGTTTGAGGAAAAAAGGGAATTTTTCATAGGAAAGCATGATGGTGTGATGCAAAAGCTAAAGTCAGTTTTACTCTGTGGCTTACATGAGCTATAATTAATTAGCTGTCATTGTTAGAAGTTTCATTTGTAACATGTCTGATGTTGCTTTTAAGATTATGCATCCATCCCTTCATTTGACAGAGACTGAAGTACTCTGAAATCCTCTGTATTAGTACTCCGAAGACTAATAAATCATGGTTCGCTGAGCAGTAGATGCTTGGAAAAAGAATTTAGTTACACAGTTAGGGCTCAGCAGAGGCATTTCCTCAACATTTTATGTTTCTGCATAGACTCGTCATAACCTTATGAAGTTATTTTCTTTTAAAATTGTTTAATGAATAGTTCCGGGCTTTGTTTTGGTGTGGTTCATTTTTAACACTGCAGAGCCCAGTTCAGACTAAGAAAGAGGGGACATGCGCAAAGGATGGCACCATATCCCACATCACTAATGGAGACAAGCCTGGTGGGAGTTACAGATCCTAGCTGCCATATAAAGTCTGTAAAGATATTAATATGTACCCTGACAAATAGGCTCTGTGAGACACCAAAAAGAATTGTTCAATCAGTTAACCACATTAGCTAACTTAAGACACTTTCTCAGTAAAGACAAAACAACTTGGCATTTTAAGGCTGCTTCTTGTACCTGACCTGGCTTGTCTAGAGCTGTACTGACAATCTGTTTCACAGAGCAGCCTGATGTATTTTCACAGGTGTCTGTCATAAGTGACAAGCACACTTTTTCCTCTAACACTTTTTTTCCCCTCTAAGAGCCAGTAGATATTCCTTGACAACCAGTACCTTCAGAAACATGGCAGGCTTCCTCTCCCACATTTGCCATTAGTCAAAAATGTCTGTAGTTCCTTTCTTTCCTAACACCTCCTTAGGAAATGTGGCATTTCCTCCAACAGTATCAAAGCATTTCAATAGGCAGGTGAAATAAAATTGCTTCATTTGTAGGGTGACTGCTTTGTTGCCACCAGAATGCTTGGGGTAATGTACTGCAAAATGAGAGGTTTAGAACATGCTAAAAATCTCTTCACTCAATTGCGTAAACTTTTAGTCCCTTTCTATAAGACCGTTTCACTAATTCTCTGATAATTCGTACTGTTTCAGAGTAAAGAATTTGTTATTTGCCAGTGGACCCAGAAGACAACAGCAGAAGGGCTTGGCGTTGTAAAATATTTCAAAAATCTGTTCTTTTTAAAGCAAAACAAAACTTTGAAATGCTATTTTTTCTTTCTTTACCAATCACCTTTTAAATCAACTTTTGTATCCCCCAAGGTCAAACCAAAACTGTTATGAGAATTTAAACATGTAAATAATGTTTGAGAAACCTGAGAAATCCATTACAGTCTGAAAAAAAGAGATGACCTTGGAACATGTACTTAAAAATCAAGACACCAAGCAGGAATGTTACCAAATTTGAGAGCAGAGTTTGCCTGGCAGCTGAAAAAAGCTGCAAAATTCATATTCTTCAGTTGAGTTTTTTTCTTAAGCAATTTATAAAGTATCATCAATGGGGAATATGCAGCGTAATTATATCATTACAATATAGCTATGTTTTAATAAACTGTCACCAAGTATCTATACAATATTAGGGTTTAGTAAAAGTTAGATTTCTTTGAAAATGACAGTTCACAGACTTCAATTCTCCCATCACCTTCTGTGCCTTGTTTTACTGTAACCCTACCCAAACTCCATTGTGATTGATTTTTATACCATTTTTAGCTGAAATTAGAATTTGAAGTAAGCCAAAGGAACAAATTTACATCCCCTCATTCATGTGTGACCGCATAAGGTGCAGAACAGAGGGAATCAGAGTTGGTATATTTAAAAAATTAAAAAGGTGCCCCTCACCTTTTGCATCTCACCCAGTTGAGATTCTTCTTTTCTCATAATGTAAGTCAGACTGAGGAAAATCCAAGAAAAGGCAGGGAAAGACATGCCAGGAAGTGACTCCCATTTGAGTCCCTTATTGCACATCTGATATGGTTATGTAATTTAAAAGCGCTTTAGAATAGGTCCCTATCAAGCTAGAACACCCCAAAATAATACCTTTAAAATTATAAAAAAGGAAATTATTTTTTACAGTCTTCATCTATTCCAACCCAAGGCCAAGAGAAGTACGGAAAACGTATATCCAGAATTAAACCACTTCTCTTCTGAGAACTGCAATTTCACCTTTAGTGTCTAGATGAATTATTTCAGGCTCAGGTTCCACAGAATTAAATTCAGGACTTCGGGCCATTTGATCTTTATTATCTAAATGCTAGCAACATGTTTTCATACAAATGCCACTGCTTTTGCAGGAGTAATCTACGCACAAGTTTTGTAAGCTACCACAAAAAAAAAAAAACAACAAAACAATAATAAAAAAAAACCAAACATATCCAGAGAAATAATATAATCTAGAGTCAATCAGCAAAAATAAAAAAGTGTAATAGCATTAAAATTCAAATCTAAATGTCAAGAAACAATATTAATCAAAAGCTGGAGCAAACTCCAAGATGAAAAGGGTTCTGGCAATTCAAAAACAGAAAAATAGAAATCTTTAATTTACCTTGAAGGTCACAAGAGAAATTAAAAGGAGGGGGGAAAAAAAAATAAAAAGAAAAACCAAAAACCAACACAAAAGTAAACTGCAATTTCTCTGAGACTCAGAAATGAGCCCTAATATTATAAAAATGAGCAGAAAAACCTGACTGTAGGACTGGGCAACTCATTAGCTGCTAACTGATAAAATCAGCTGGGTATTTTAAAGTCATGGTTAGAGATGATGCTGAGATGCTTTTCAGCCTATTTTTCACCAATATGCAGTGTCAGAGAAGTGCAGTACTCAGTTAAATGGGTTAAACTTAGTAACTATAATGTTTATAAAATAGCTTCTTGAAAAAACAATTTCTCTTAATTTTTTCTATCCATATTTTCACATTACTTTTGAGTGTAACAGCAAGAGATTTTGAGTTATGCCAATCTAATTTTATTAGCTTTGTAATTAAAATGCAGTAGATACTCGCTTATCTTCCTAGCTGTCCTTATTTTATCATTCCTTTGCCTCATCCTGACACTAAGTAGCAAGAAAATGCATGTTGCCTTCTCATTAGGAATGCTGGTACAGAACTTTATTAAAAAGCTTGTAGCAGTGACAAAAGTCAAATGTAGTAAAGTTTTACTGTTCTTTGAAGCAACTAAGTCACACTCTTGACTGAAGCCCTTTTAAGTAGTATTTATGGAAAGTATGCTGTGTGTTGGCACAAGAGTGACAGATACTCCATTTTAGCTGTATTAATGATCCTTCTAGTGTATGGATAAGGGCTGACAGCTGTGAAGAATGATTCTGTCAGTAACTTAACAGACTTCTTAGCAGTTTAGCCTGAACTGAGACGGCTTAAATACAGTTCTTTGCTTGGTAGTCCTTCCTGACCAACATCCTTCCCTAACCAACATGCTCCTTTCTGGGGCTCCCAAATTAAGGGGCAAATAAGCATAACTCAGCCACTGTGGCAAGGTTTTGAATTCAAACTGATGCAAGTCAGGCAAAAGACAAGTCATCTTTCTGGTAAGATGGTAGAGACAAATCAGGAGATGTTTTAGCTGTGCCAAGCTGAAGGTCCACATCCATGCTAAAGGAGAGTTTCTACAGTGAAGCCTGTCCTGTAGCCTAGTGCAGGGTCACAGACTGTCTTCATTGTAGCACCCATACTGCACAAGAACTTTGTGGCCATGCAGTTATGTCTCTTTGGGCTTCTGGCCACATACACCGAAGAAGAAGAGACTGATCTAATGGCAGTTCTGACGTGCTTGAAGTTTTCAGCGCTGCAATAAACCCACCATATAATGCAAAGTTTACCTAACATATTTGTGTTTAATGTAGCATTAAATACAAAGGAGTTATTTTGCACTACAGAAAAGCCTACAGCCCATGATATACAAGCAACATAAGAGAGAATCCCAGACAGTGCAAAGCTCACTGTGTAAATGGGACAGAAACAGTGGAGGGGCAGTGGAAAAACTGGGCAGAGCCAGAGATCAGGGAACAGCCATGGTATCTGGGCCGGGAATGAAGCCATGGTCCAATTGCTCCACAGGGATAAGGTGACCCATGTACACAGCAGGCAGTGCTCCAGCTGAAACTAAAATCCGTAGACATTTTCTTCTAATAAAAAGGTCTGAAAAATAAGAACATCCTGAACCTATTCATGAAAGGGGCCATAGCTGTTGCAAAATACATTGCATATGAGGGAACCACTATTCATATAACTGGAATCTTACCATAAAAGTCTGAGGAAAATTAAGAGACACATGCCAGTGGGATGCCAAATTCATAAAGATAGCTGTGCCTGGAGAAGCAGGATAGATAACTTTGAGGAGGGAATTTAAAATAAGATGAAGAAGAGGTAATGTCTTAAACTGAAACGGTTTTGAGAAGATTCAGCTGAAGGCCTAGTATGGATTACAGGTTTTGCTGTTCTGAGCTCATCCTCTCATCTTTCCGTGTTACACATGGAGACTCTCCCAGATATCACTGCTGGTCTTAGCTTAGCCACACGCACATTAACCATGGACATGCACATGATCTGTAGCAGCAGCTCAATGGAAGTCATGTTAGAGATAGATCTGAAGCCTAAGTCATGGTGGTGTGTGAGCCTTTCTGCACTCAGATAAGACATTTCCCCATCCTAAAAGGTGCAGCTGCCCTCTTCTTGCATAAAGAGGACTCAGTTTGGGCCAAACTGGCTTACATCCTACAAGGAGGACTGGTAAGAGACTCCTGAAGTTTCAAGGTCAACAGGGAATGCTTATATCCACTACAAAGTATGTCAAAATATAGATAGCTTTTTGAATGGTATCTGAATTTACAGGATGAAAAACCCATTCTGAGAGTTTCCCTGTGGGTCAGGGTAATCCCCAGTGTCAATGCAGACTAGGAGATGAATGTATTGGGAGCACCCCTGCAGAGAAGGACTCAGGGATACTGCGGGATGGAAAGTTGGACAGGAGCCAGTAACGTGTTCATAAAGCCAATCATATCCTCGGTTCTATAAAAAAGGAGCATGGCCAACAGGTCAAGGGAAGTGTTTCTCCCCCTCTACTCTGATCTCATGAGATCCCCACTGCAATCCGGGGTTCCCTCTACAAGAAAGACATAGATGTGTTGGAGTGGGTGCCAGAGGAGGGCCATAAAAATGGTCAGAGGGATGGAAAACCTCTCATATGGAGAGAAGATGAGACATTTGAGGTTGTTCAGCCTGAGAAGAGAAGGTTTCAGGAAGGCCTTATTGCAGCTTTTCAGCACAGGAAGGGGGCTTATGAGAAAGATAAAGGGAGAATTTTTACCAGAGCCTTTAATGACAAAAAACAATGGCTTTAAACTGAAAAGGGGTGGATTTAGACTGGACAGGAGGAGAAAATTTTTTACAATGAGGGTGCTGATGCCCTGGCACAGGTTGCCTAGAGAGGCTGTGGCTGCCCCATCCCTTGCAGTGTTCAAGGACAGGTTGAATGGGCTTTTGAGCAACGTGATCTGGTTGAAGAACTCCCTGTTCCTGGCAAGAGGGGTTGGAACTAGATGACCTTTAAAGGTCCCTTCCAGCCCAAACCGTTCTGTAATTCTATGGTTCAGTGAATTTCTGATTCTATAATTAAAGCAAGGACAGAACAATGCCTGCAGTAAGAAGGGAAAAATCAAACCAGAATGCCCAAAGATATGTTCTGTCTGAGAGCCTCCTGAGAAGACAGCTGTGATTCACCAAGCTCACCACTCTTTAGGTTGATGCCTTACACTTTCATGGTGCTTATCTGTTGGCAACCTGCTGTCTGTAGCAGCTGGTAGCCATTTGGAAAGTTAGCCCAGTACAGAGATGGTTTATAAAGTGCTGTCACAGTATACCCTACTGATATCTCTTAACTTACTCTTCTACCAATATAGTCTACTTTTTGTTAATGTGTAGATATAACATCCTTAACCTATCCTACATTTCTACAGTTCATCCTACTTTTTGTAGGATACTAATGTAAGCACAACAGAGCATTCCTTAAAAAGAAAAAACTCCCTCCGTTCCTCATCCTCTTCTGCAACCATTTTCTTATTAGTGAGCAGTGTGCAAGGTCTTGGTTGAGCAGCTTTAAAAGCACTGAGCCTTTCCCATAGGCTTGTTTTGATTCCCACCTCACTCCTTGCACATATTCCTTTTTACCATCTCACCACTTTTCTGAATCAGAGGGCTCAGTGCAGCAGCCCTGGTGTCAGAGGTCACTAGAGAAGTTTACTCTGAGATTTGAGTGTTTTATATTTGTGTCCCTTTGTCCCTTCTCTGATTCAGAAAGAAGAAAGAACAAAAAGAACAAATGCACCAAGCAGTCTAATAGCAACCTGCCAACATTCACTGTAGAAAACAGAGCTGGTTTTGAATTGTAGAACTGGTAGAGAATTTTCAGGCACTGATGTTGTCTGCTTTAAAATGCGCATACCATCTCTACTGTCTCTAAGACCAGGGAGCAGTCACCAAATGTTTAGGTTTTCTTCTCCTTATCCTAGAATGAGAGTTTAATACCAGATTCTATCCCAGAACAAATTTTTATGGACAAATAATAAAGCACTTTGAAACTAGGGGATTATAATAGAAATGCTAACATAGCTTTACCCATAGACAGGAAAGAACAGTGCTAGTATAATTATTAAATGCAACCTATAATCTTCATGGTGTTTTAAGTCAAAAGGAAAATGAGAGGTTTTGCATAATGCTGGAAATCTGTGAGGGCTTTGATGTTGCTTTAATCCTACACTACCTAATAGTTCATTTAATGTCCAAGCATGTGAATGAAACTTCATGTGGTGCTTAAGATTATTGTACTTAGAAAGGTTAGAGCAGATTCCAACTGAAAAAAAAATAATAGTAATTTCTGTTTGACTTGACTTACCTAGATTAAATGCTGTTGTCAGAATTCATGATTTAGGTTTTGTTTTAAAGGAAATTATTGAAAGGAAATTATCAAGTAGTCTATTGAAAATGAAAAGCAAATAAAAATCAACTAATATAATCTTTCACTTGTTTGCAAGATATTAATAGGCAATGTCGCCAAAGGCCAAATCCTGAGATAGCCTTTATACCCACAAGGAGCAGCTTCAAAGCTGAGGAACAAGCAAAAGCAGTGGGATTCTGTGGGTTGCTGAATAGTCCCTCAAGTAGTATCTGCTACCACCCCAAAAGAACCAAAAGTGGTTCCTCAGTGGTTTTAAAAGTGCACATGCATAGATTTGAATACTGAAATGGTACCAAAGCCCTA